CAAGTATGGTAGATTCCATCTGTTGAGGCGAGAACGGCATCTACTCATGTTTTCGAGCACTTTCAGGCAAGGCGGGTAGGGCGAGCAGACAAACCACATGCCAGCAAAACAACCAACCAAACTTAAAAAGAAAAAAGAAAAAAGAAAAAAGAAAAAGGGGGTGCCAAGACCTGGAGGGTAGGGAGAGAATTGCTCACCGACCCATTACCCTCTAGTTGGTGAGACTGCGAGCAGACAGCCCGCAAGCAAACTAACAAGAAGACCACAATTCAGCAGGCCAAACAAACACACCAAAATAACACATCTAAACAGGATGCCACGGGCATGGGGTTAGCATCCTCCACTCCAACTGTTCAGACTTTTCTCGATGAGACTGCGGGCAGACCACACGCAAACAAGCTAACAGCAAGACCACACACTAAAAACAGGCAAACCAAAAAACATGACCAACATGGATGCCAGGGCCAGGAAGGCGGAAACACCTTGCACACCGCCTCACCAGCCTTCTGCTGATGGGACCGCAGGCCGGAGCAACCTCACACAAGCACATCAAACAGAAAGCCTTGAAAAAAACAAAAACGGATACCGAGGCCAAGCAGGCCAGGGCATACTTGTGCATCGGCTCATTTGCCTTTAGCTGATGAGACTGCGGTTGGACTACACCTAAAGAGACCAGACTGGCAGACCAATCTTAAAACATTAACTGAAAAAAATAGAAGTTGATGATGATTGTTTCGTCGGAATTGCACCGACTCATAAGGAGGCTGAACCCTCGACAATCTGCGGAGTACCGGTTTTGGATGTTTTGGGTCATGAACCCTTTGACCCTTGTTGAAGGCAGATTGCCCACAAGCAAAACATAGCAGTGAGCGACACCCGTGTGAAGCACCAGGCAACACACCCGAAGCCACTCAACCACACAACACCAAAGACGACTGCAAGGAACAACACGTCAAACGGCGGACGACAGCAAGAAACAACCCTGCGAAGCACCAGGCAACGCACCAGAAGTCACTCAACTGCAGAACAACACAAACAGCTGCAAGGAACAACACCGCAAGTGGAGTCACAGCACAACGCCCGTGTAATGAAGCACAAGGCAACAACCACATGACCACCACACTACACGACACACAAGCAAGGAACCCAAAAGGCACGACACATGAATGGACAGCTTGGAAGCAGCGCCGCGAAGCACAAGGCAACACGACTACCACAACCAGACTGCACAACGAACGTAACAGCACACAACGAACAGCACATGACCCAAGCGGGATAGGCAGCAAGGCAACGGTAATGCGCAGACAACACAAGGCAGCCCACACATCCAACACGAAGCAAAGCAGCACATGACCTACTCACATCATGGGTGAACACCACAGACTATTGGTTCCCACCACCCAATGAGCCAGGGAGTCACTCCGCCGAACATCCGTCATCACCGACAGGCAACACAGACGCCCCGAACCAAGCGGCCCCCCTAAGAGTGCAGTTGGCAATCCAAACGAGGAACCACCGACTGTTTAGCACTGCAAGGGGGTGCTCGGCTAGAGACAAACGTACTTAGAAAAAACATAGGAAAGAGAAGAAAGACAAACCTAAAACAGAGACAAACAGACTAAGTCTTTTATAAAATTGATTGTGTGTGTGTGTGCGTGTGTGTGTGTGTGTGTGTGTGTGTGTGTGTCCGCAGGGCATTGGCCCAAGTCCACAGAGAATACAACGCACCCTCAGTTTCACTGCGTCGGACCGGATAGATAGCTTGTGTACAGTCCTTAATGGGGTGCGTTCTGTTCGGGGCCGGGTGGGGACGAGGTCACGAGGGAGGGAGGAAGGGAGGGGGAGACACACACACACACA